GACGATGACGTGGCAACGGCGGAGAAGCGGTTAATGGAAGGCCCAAAATTTGGCCAAGTTTGGCGAAATTTTCAGCGAAACTGCCATATTTTCCTGAATTTTAACTTCTTTCTTGTATTTTTTTTTGCTTGATACGTATGTACTTTAGGGTATATCTGTATTCAATTTCGCCGAATTTGGACCAGTAACGAAAAACTTAGCAAAAACATCGGACTTGAAGAAAGATTTGGCGAACTCCGAAAGGTACTCTGAATAGGGTTTTATAGTGCTCTTGAGTTTGTTTTTCTTGTTTTTTGTTTTCCTGTTTTTTTTTTTTTTGTTTGTATTATGACCCTGCATGGTTTGTTCGCAAAAGTTTCGACAACATTGCTTGTAGCGACACGGCGAAAAACCTCGAATTTTTTGCCTTCCATTAACCGCTAGTGCAACGACGGCGACGAGGTCGACGGCGACGATGATGAAACACGGCGGAAGGGAGGGTCGAAGCCGCTCCGATACCAGTGTGACGGGGCTGAGGCAGAGCAGCGCGGTCGGGGAAGAGAGAGGGAGGGAGTGAGAGCACACAGTGTCACACACACACTCACTCAACTCGACACGGACTCGACACGACTCAACGGACGCAGACACAAACTGGCGAAGTCGCGAAGTCTCAAAGTCGCAATCTTGGATTCCGAACACGATGTCGCAGCAAGTCACACTGAAGCACAAGCACTGAGGGCGAAGACTGAATGCCGGAACTCAGCTTCAGTCCGTTCTTAAGTACCGGACTCAAGTTGAGTCCGAGGAAAGAAGTGCAATTTGCCCCCGGGCTGAACTGAAAATCGAAGGTCTGAGCCTGGGCGCCAGAATGCCGGATGGCGCCAAGTATCGAAATCCAAAAGTGCCAGAGGCGGGATTTGAGAACGAGCGCCAACTGCAGAGGGCACCAACAGTCAGGAACCAGAGATCAGAGACTCGAAAAAAAAAGATTAGCAGCCTGGCGGGTGGTAACCCACGGACCAGGGATCGAGCCCTGGCTGAGTCCGTAATTGAGTGCAAAAGTTTTCACTATCTCTTGTTTCACCACTACCCTGTTGTTATCCTGTGCTAACCTTCTCAGCCTATAACCCCGTCTTCACCCGAATAAAACCCCCGGTCATTACCGCTGCATCTGGACTGAAAGGTGTGCCAAATGCAGCTATGAGAGCCGGGCGTTATATTCGGGTGAAGACGGTAGTTGGTGCTGCATTCTGCTATGGCGTAGTGTATATCCCTGCTCAGGGAGTCTTTTCCCCATCCCAGAACCATACTGCTGGGTCTATTTCCAAATCTTGAATTGTCTAGGCTGGACGGTATACAAGTCCTATCTGTACAGATCTGCGAGTTTTAGTGAAACCTTGGCTCTAGGATTGGTTTCTAGTACTTTCTACCCTTCTTGTGAATCCCCTTCCCTCCTGTGAAACGGTTTTCACCTTTTTGAAGACACAGATACGGATCCCAGGGCTCAATCCCCAGACCTCACCTTACCTTACGCTGCCTGTGTACAGTATCAAGTCGACCCTGTGAGTCTTGAACCCGTGACCTGTGTTATTAGTTGAAAATTGTCTGTCGTAGGTCTGAGTAGTTGTTGGGTCTTGAACCTTAGACCTGTCGAAGTAGGGGTCACACCTGCACAGGGGTCATAGTTGTTGTAGTTCTGACAGGTCAACGTCGTAGCTGCTACAGTCCTGAAAGGTCAAGGTCGTAGCTGCTACAGTCATGAAAGGCCAAGTCCGCAAACTTCCGGAAGGTCCAGAAGTGGCCTTTCAAGTTTCTTTTCACGTTATACACAGCAGGCCAGAGGTAAGTGGCCTAGTGGTGAGTCCAACTTCGCTTAGTCAGCGGTACCCAGTCCCAGTCTCACTTTGTCCAGTCAGCCAGTACCATGAGGGACTGTGTCCCAGTGGAAAAGGGCAGACCAGTGACTTACGGAAGTATGTATCAAGAGGCAGCGTCCAGCCATTCATTCATTCCTGCGGGAGCCATGCGGAAGCGCTGCCCGAGCGTCTTGTGCGAGGTGGTCTGCAGATGCCCGCGGTCGAAGTGGGCTTGAAGAAGTCAGTGCACCATAGTTAGTAGTGGCCGGCGGCCATAGCCGCCATAGCTAGTGGTAGGTGTTAGTGTCTGTGTACGTGTGTGTGATACAGTAAACGTGTGTGGGGTTGTGAGTTGGGATGTACAGGCACTGATGCGCCATAGCCTGTTGAAGTGAGTTTGCATCTGAACTGTGTTCTCGGTTTCCATATCTCTGAGCTTTGAGTGGGCGCTTGGCGCCAGTGTGAATTGCTATCCGTTTACATGTATGCGAAGTGAAGACGAAAGTGAGTCTGATTGCACCTGCAGATGGTGGACAAAATTTTGTTGTCTTGAATGTCTTGCAATCAGACTCGCTTTCTTTCCACTTCGCACACATGCAAACAGGTGGAGATTCACACTGGCGCAGGGCGCCCACTCAAAGCTTAGAGATATGGAAATCAAGAACACAGTTCAGATGCAAGCTCTCTTCAACAGGCTATGGCACATCAGCGCCTGAACCTCCCAACCTTCGTCACTGTGTCCAACCCCACTGTTCACACACGCTCACTCTGGATCACCCTGAATACCACCACACGCATGCACTATGTCCAACTTCCTCCTACAGCGGCTATGGCCGCACTACCACTACTGACTATGGCTACAATCTCTCTTCAGCCCACTTCGTCTTCGGGCAACCTGCAGACCACCTTTGCGCAAGACGCTGTAGCAGCGCTTCCGCATGGCTTACACAGCGAATGAATGAATGGCTGGGCGCTGCCACTTGATTTATACTTCTGTAACTCGTCGGTCTGCCCCTTTCCCAGGCCCTTGGTGCACACAGTCCCACACGGTACTTGCTTGACTGGACTCTGACTGACTGGGACCGGTGCCGCTGACTGCATGGGATTGCACTGCCAACTCGATGCAGTCGCACTGCCGATGTAACGCAGTTGGCTCACCACTTGCCCACTTGCCTCTTACTAAAGGCTCACCACTTGCCCACTTGCCTCTGACTAAACGTGAGACACTTCGAAAGGCCACTTCTGGACCTTCCCGAAGGCTGTGGACTTGGCCTTTCGGGTACTGTAGCAGCTACGATCTTGACCTTTCAGGACTGTAGCAGCTACGACCTTGACCTTTCAGAATACCTACAGCTACGACCTCTACAAAGCTGTGACTCCTAATCCAGAGACCTACAGATCGAACACCTACCGCTACACAGACCTACGACAGACGACAGCTACTGCCAAACACAGATCACGGGTTCAAACAATCGGGTGTCGACTCGATACTGTACATGGGCAAAGTGAGGTCTGGGGATCGAATTCTAGGGCCCGCACCTGTGACTGCAGACAGGTGAAAACCGTTTCACTCCCGCCGGCTTAAATTCGAGGTCCTCCGAGAATACTTCAGTCTAAGGCAGGACCTTTACCCTTCTTATCTCTTTCGTAAGCTCGGACTATATCGGGAGCTCTCTCTAGAAGTTCTGTTCGCGTGAACCAGCGGTCGTCTTCTGGCTCTTGATAGGCAAATCTGACTTTGTACTGTTTCTGGGGACGACCTCTACCTCCAGTCCTGAAGACATCCTCACCCACTATCCCTTCAATGTCATATCTTCCATCCATATCTGGAGGAACCATAGATCTGCGTGATGGGAACTGTTGGCTTGTGATGCAAGGTAACAGCTCTGATGCATGGAACACTGGGTAGGTGTGGAGGTGTGCTGGGATCTCAATAGTAGAGGACGGCCCATCTTCTCCGCCCTTGACTTCTAGGACAGGCCACGGTCCTCTATATGCAGGCAACAACTTTTGTGAGATGTTTTCCTAAGGGGCAAACTCTTTTGACTTGACCCAGACTAAGTCGCCTACTTGAAACTGTGAGGGGCGACGGTGCTTGTTAGCTTGCTCTATCATTCTGTGCTGGGCTTTCCTGAGGTTGTCAACAACGGTAGCTATCTCTTTCTCGTGCTGTATTGCAAACTCTCGTGTACCGGGCGGTAGCCTCTGAATCTGATCCCGGTTAAGTCCTTCAAATGGTCTGCGCGGTCTAAAGGACTTGTGCAACTCGTTGGGATTGCGACACGTAGATAAGTGCATGCTATTATTGCAGGCACTGGCCACCTTTGGGAGCATCTCATCCCAGTTGATCTGATCGGGCCCAATGTACTTGCTTCAGGAGCTTGTTCATCTGTTCAGTCTGGCCGTTAGTCTCAGGATGACGACCTGATGACATCAACAACTTTGAGCCATAAACTTTCATCAGCTCCTGCCAATTCTGACTAGTGAATCGGGTATCCCTGTCAGTAACTATCGACAGCGGTATACCATGCTCACTGACCCAATGGTCAAAAAACTTATGAACTACTAAGTCTGTGCGTGCCTTTGCAGGCAAAGGAACAAAAACTGCATACTTGCTAAATCTATCTACTATGACCATGACTTGACTTTTGCCATGCCCACTCTTGACCTGAGTATCCATAAAGTCAATGGACACAGAATCTCCGGGTCTATCAGGAATAGGCAAGGGTCTGAGAAGACCAAGGGGCTCGCGTAGTAGTCTTGTTTCATTGACAAACTTTACAACTACGGACATACTCTATGCAGTCGGCCTTCATACCAGGCCAAATGTACGCGCACATGAGGTTGGCTAGTGTCTTTTGCCAACCGAACTGTCCCTCTGTATCATGGCATTCCCCTAAGATCAAACTACGGATCTCTTCACTGTTGGGAACGCACAGGCGGCCAACTACATTAGTCTTCTCGAATAATAAGCCATCAGTAGTGCGGTAGTTTGGCTCAGACTCTGGGGCCTCCCTAACTCTCTTGAGGAGATCACTATAGATAGGGTCCTGTGCATAGGCCTCTCTAACTTTCTGTTGCAGGTCTCTCCCTATATCCAGATAGTGAACTATTGCCCCAAAGTAATCAGTTCTTCTACTCAGAGCGTCCGCTACTATATTGTACTTCCCTTTAACTGGCTTTAGTTCAAAGTCATACTGGTCTAACTTTGCGACCCACCTAGTTAGCTTAGGTGTCATCTTGGCCTGAGTCTTCAGCCACCTTAGTGTCTCGTGGTCTGAGTAGATTTTGAAGTGCCTCCCAAGCAAGTAATGTTTCCTATGCTCTAGTGATTGCCTGAGAGCGTAGAGTTCTCTCTCATAGGTTGATGTCGCCACCTTCTCTGAAGGCATTCTGACAGACATGAACTCTACAGGCCTATATCCATTGCCATCGTCTTGCTGTAAAACAACACCTATGCCATACTGACTTGCGTCAGTGGTAACAACGAAAGGCAAGGACGGATCGGCTACCTTAAGGATTGGATACTCTATCAATGCTCACTTTAGCTTCTTCAGGGCTGACGTACAGTCCTTGTCCCACTTCCAGATTGCTTCTTTCTTTACCAACCTGCGAAGGGGTGCAACGATGGTGGAGAAGCTCCTGACGAACTTCCTATAGTAGTTAGCTAGGCCTAAGAACGACCGCAACCCTGTCAGTGTGCGGGGCGTTGGCCAATCTCTAATGGCTGCAATTTTGTTATCTTCAGGTCTAACGTCGTCTCCTTCTAGGACGTGGCCTAAATACAAAACTTGGGTCTTAGCCCATTCGCACTTCTTCGCGTTGATCTTGAAGTTAACTTCTTTGAGCTTCTCCAAGACCTACCTTAGATGACCCTCATGCTCCTGGAGGGTCTTGCTAAAAACTAAGATATCATCTAGATACACCACTACAAATCTATCTAACCACGGCCTAAACAAGTTGTTCATGCAGAGCTGGAAAGTCGTTGGCGCATTGGTTAGTCCAAAGGGCATAACTATGAACTCATAGTGCCCATATCTAGTCCGGAATGCTGTCTTGTACTGATCATCAGGATGAACCTCTATCTGATGATAGCCGAACTTTAAATCTATCTTCGAAAAACACTTGCAGCCCTGCACCCGGTCTAGCAAATCGTCTATACGGGGCAGTGGTTCTGCATTCTTCACTGTAATAGCATTCAGACCCCTATAGTCTATACACATTCTAAGCTCTCCCTCTTGCTTCGGGACAAAGAGAACAGGTGCTACAAATGGGGACGAACTGGGCCTAATCCAACCCTTCTCAAGGAGTTTGTCTAACTGCTTACATAGCTCCTCCAACTCCGAGGACATTCTGTACACAGCTCCCCTAGGAGTCCTACTGCCAGGCTCTATCTCAATGCGATGCTGGATGGGCCGCGACACTACTCCTGTAGGTGGCTTAGCTAAAAGTCTGTATACTCTTCCAACAGCTTGGCAATAGGAGGATCTATGGGTTTCTCCTCTTTAGGCTCAGTGACGGGCCTGGCATAGGCCACAAAAACCTGCTCTTCTAATTGCTCCTTCTTCACCAATCACGCGAACGCGGGAGCATTCACACAGCAATGTGCCAGAGAGTTGTCTACTCCTGACACGTGAAACAGACGAGCCGTCTTGACTTCGCCTGATGGGCTAGGGAGCCTACACTCGTGCTCTCTCAAATGGAGGGTGGCCCCTGCCGCCTCTCCCCAGTCCATTCCTAGAACTAAGTCAAAAGGAAGGCTGTCTTCTACGAGGAGAGTCAGGGAATGGAGAACTTTCTCCACCTTCCCATCCTTCTCCAGGCGAAAGTACGCCTGGACTCCCTCTACGTAATCCTCGACTTGCATGGTGCCATTGTCTGCGAGGATACTGACTATAGGGTCCTCTAACTTTTGGACTTTAAGATTCAACTTTAACTTCTGCAGCGCTTTCCTACTGATGTAGCTTCGGGTGGCCCCATTGTCTATAAGGGCCCCCACTCTGCCTCTAAAAATCTCTACATCTACTAAGACTAGTTGTCCTTTCGCATCCTTTTTCGTCTTGGCCCAGGCAGGCATTCTCTCCTTCAATTCTTCTGCCACACCTGCGAGGGAAGTGCCTAGAGAGACTCTAACACAAGCAGTCTCTGAACAACTATCTAGGCACTGACCAGCAACCTCTGCCATAGACGCATGTGGTTTGGGAGTTTCTATGTGGTGCGCGCACTCTTCTCCACATGGTCTAGGGGTAAGGGCAGTTGCGACCCCTACCGATGGTTGCCTTTTGCTGCCTGTGCAGCAAATCGGGCCTCTCTATGCTTAGGGAAGTATTTAATAATGTGCCCAGGATCACCGCCATAAATGCACTGATTCTGGTTTATTCTTCTCTGCCATACTGACTGTTCAAGACCCAGATCTTCCCAGGGCTTGCCTTGCGGCCAACCAGGGTGCCATCCACCCCTCCTGGGAGGTGACCGACTAGAACGCGGACGGTTTTGCGGTGGACCATAACCCCTTCCTCCCTCTTGGCGGTTTCCTCTGCCGCCAACCCCTTGAGCGCTTTGCCCTCGACCACTAGAGGCCCGGCCCCCTTGGCCTTGGCCTCCTCTTCCTTGCGGCCTACCTCTAGCCGTGACAGCAGCGTAGGTCCTCCCCTGACTCACACTACTGTCTTCCTCCTAGAGGCCCCACTCAATCTGATTGTACGGGTCCTCCTCCATACCACCCTCATCTAAAGTAAGGATCAAGTGATCCTTGGCCTTAACTTGCCCCGAGATGGTACGTCCTTTCCACTTTTTACCCTTGTCTAAGTCCTTATGCCAGAAATAGGAGACTGGCATGGACTGAGCCTCAAAGGCTACCACTTCCCTACTCAATGTATCGTAGGTGATGGCAGACTCTCTACTCCTTTCAAAAACGTGCCCTCGTAAAGACTCAGGCATAGCACGGTAGAATAGCTAGACCAATTGGGCCTCAATGACCCCATGTCCTGGGATGGCAACTAGCTCATCCATAACTCCTTTGAGTGCTCTTGCACTCCACCATTACCATGAGTGGATGGTCTGCAACTTATCTGAGGCTCTAATCCCCCTAGTGACATCTGCAAATCATTCGCAAAGCAACCTGAAGAACTCGCTTAGGGGGCTAATGATGGAGTATGCCACCATGTCATTTTCATACTTGGCGGCCCTGGCAAGCGATCGGGCGAAGCTAGCTGCTTCGTCCTTAAGGGCATGAAAGGCGATGAGGACTTGCTCCTCAGGGAAGATCTTCTGGAGGTGAACGTAAGAATTAACGTTCGCCTCCCAGTTATCAAAATTCTCTTCCTTCTTCCCACTGTAGGAATCAGGAATTTGACCTTGACTGGTTCCCTACGTGGGCGAGCTTCCTCCTCTTTGGGAGCGACTATCTTAACTCCCTCGATAGCACCTTTGTAAGACCTCTCCATATTAGTTAGTCGAGCTTGCATTTCAGTGCCCATGCGCATCATCATGTCATGCGCAAAATCCCTAAAGCCTACGCGCATGGACTGCAGAGCGATATCGTGGCCCTTCAAGTAGTTCATTTGCTCTTGCTGGGCCCGAATCATTACTTCTAGGCTCTTGCCTATGATCTCCACTTTGTTCTTGAGATCCGCTTGCTCGGCCAACTGTGCATGTTGTTCCCTCGTGGCGGCCAACTCTTTCTCCAATTTTGTCGCCACCTCTATGCGCCTCCTTCTCTGTCTTCGAAGGCGCAACTTCCACTCCATCCTCTTTTCCTCCTCCAAGGCCTGACGCTGCAAGGGATCCTRAACTGCCTRGATMTCAKCTATTGCCSCGTCTCTCTCGTCCTGGGGAATATACATCATAGCCTCTTCATCTTCTCCCAGGGATAGATTTGCTACCCACTCACTCACCATCTTCTCCAACTTCTCTTCTTCTGTCGTGCTACTTGACTCTCCTTCCCCTGTCCTCCTAACATTCCTCTTTAGGGGAATCTCTTCTTCTTCTTCTTCTTCTGCTGCTGCTGCTGCTGCTTCTACTTCCTTCAACTTTTCTTCCTCCTCTTTCTTTAATCTCTCCATCTCCTCTTCCAACTTCTTCTTCTTTGCCGCCTGCTCCTCCAACAAGGCTTGCTTCTTCGCCTGCTTCAATAGCTCTTTCTTCTCTTTTCTCTCTTTCAGAATGGCGCCGGCTTGCTCTTCCTGCTCCTTCGTGTACGGGGCGGTGCTCGTACCACTACGCGTGTCAACCATGGTGACGGTGCACAACTGAGTGTCAGTTCCACTCCTCACCACTTAGACTTCCACCCCCTAACTGACTTAACTTACTAACTGACTCTCGAAGGACCACAGAGCCTTACCCTTTGATCCAGCCAGGTTACCACGACCGACGAAAGTTTTCGCCACCACTGTCCTTTACAGTCCAGACCCAGATGCCTTGCAGCTGCGGTCAATCCCACCTGGCTTTCACTCCGGTTCAGGACGCTGTCAACTAGGGTCTCTAGCCTGGACCTAAAACTAAGGCTGTCACTACAGGACTTCAACGCTGATCAGGAGGCATTTAAGGAGATCCCCCGTAACTCTTCAGGAATTATTTAACGTCGCAAACAGGACGACGCGATCAGCAAGTCCTCTCAAGACGTAGACAGCCCGTTGTGCAGCCCACAACTCGGACTTCGGGCCTACCGTGCCACACCGAGCAGCCCGCCGGTCAGTACCGGTCCTTGGGAGGGTTCGTGTCCTCCGGGACAGTCGAGTCGTCAGACACGGCCTTTAGCCCTACTCAGCCCGTGTGGGTTTGGTCAACAAGGCTCTATCCTTCATACACAGAGTTCCTATCACCTGGACAGAAGAGACTAAATGCAGAAAGAAGAGACAGACAGACTCAGCAAGTACCATGGGGTGAGTGCACATCCATAGGGCGAGCGGATAGGCTGAAGGCTTGGCGAGAATATACCAACTCCAGCGTGGTTAATTTCGTGGTCAACAGCCCTGGTCAATGCTGGTCAACGCTTGGTCAACTCGTAGGTCAACGCCTTGGTCAACGGCTTGGTCAACGTCAGTCAACTCGCCGGTCAACTTTCCGATCAAAGTCTGGGTCAACGTTGGTCAACCCTTAACTCGGTTATGGCTGTCGGCCTTCTTTCTTCCTCGCCACCTTCTTTATCTTCCCTCTCCTTCCTTCCTCCTTTCTCCTTTTTCTCACTTCACCCCGGCTATGGCTTCTTTCACCTTTGTCGTCTCTCCTTCCTTCTCCCTAACTGTGACTTCTCCTCCTTCGCCTCTCCTCCCTTCTCCTTCACTTCACCTTTCTCTCTCCTTCGTTGTAACCCTGTTTTCGAGCTCCGCGGCTATGGCCGCTTTTCTCCTTTGGACCGCACACCAATCTTGTATCGCTCCTCTCTCTCTCTCTCTCTCTCTCTCTCTCTCTCTCTCTCTCTCTCTCTCTCTCTCTCTCTCTCTCTCT